TGTTCTTGCTTTTAATGTCTTGTGTGTAATTAAGGCAGCAGAGAGAAGATTTGCTGCTGGGTCCTCTGACGAGAGAGCTTTAGTTAAATCCTGGTGGAATACAGTTTTGCACGGATGATTAAATATTAACACAGCGAATCTCCAAGGTGATGAGACTGGCGGTGCTGCTTCAGGATTGCTTAAATCATGGGGCTTTTAGAGGTTTTTGATTTACATAATTACAGATAGTTGCTTAAAAAAAAAAAGGCTTAATTGCTATTGAGCAGGTGTTATATTGTGATGCCCGGGATATTTCCTCTGTCCCTGTGTCCTGATGGATCTTGGCAAGTTCAAAAGCCTTGTGGCAAGATGATGGAGTCGAACCGTATGGGTTTAATCGTAACACGCTAAGTCACAGGAGCTTCCTTTTAGCTGGAGATGCTCCCAAATCTGGGCCAGTGGAGAGGGGAAGAGGGAAGGGACGCGAGAGGTGAAGTGGGGCGGCCGGCTTCAAAGAGCCCCAAGTGTGCCGGGAGGAGGAGGAGGAGGAGAAGAGCTGGCTGTGAGAAACTTCAAATGCAAAAAGGAGAGCTTGTTGGGACAAACTTTCTTGTCTTTAAAGGGAGATGAGCGGGGGTGGGAAGGCAATTGGAGCCAGTCGCTCTGTACTCGCTTTGTTTAGCAAAAAGCGTTTGTCACAGATTTTCTTCTTCTTTGCTTGTTTAATATGTATTGAAATGAGAACTTTGATCACTCGATAAGGGGATCAGAAGGCTGCTGGATTTTGCTGTTAAGTACCTCTGTTCCTTTTGCTGAAATGCAGTTTTTATAGAGCTGTGGCGCTTGATGAAATCGCAGCGTGAGTCTTTACACCGCCTGTAACAGGCGAGCAGAAGGGGCTTCTCTGCTGAGCGAGCGGTGGGCGGCCCCGGAGCCGCTGCAAGGATTATATCTTGTAGTGCTTAATCTGGTAAAACAATTACTGGACGTCGGGGGAAGTAACCCTGTGCTTTCTCCATGGTACAACGCGGGTGTTGCTTTTGGTGGGGGCGGTTTTATAAGGCTGTGGTCGTGGCTGCCGTGTAGAAAAAAAAAAAATAAAATCAGTTGCTGTGTCTGAAGCAGAAAGAAAAACACAATGAAAGAGCTCCTCTGCTTTTCAGGGCTGGAGGCAGAAAGCCCATCACTATTTTATGCATCTGCCTGGCTGGGGCAGCATCCTTGTCCTGGGAGCTCTGGGCCTCACCGGTGTTGGGCTGGGTCTGGCTGGTGGCTTTGTGGTGTAGGCAGACATCGCAGAGGGGCAGTGTCATCTCATTGCTTGCTTTTTTTTTTTTTGTCCTCCTGCTTGCATCCAAAAAAACCCAAGATGGGATTCCAGGCCTAAAAGATAAAAGTTAGTACATCACCTTGCAGATATTTAACCCCACGGTAGTTATGAAAATCCCTGGGGTTGGCTTCAAGCATGTTCTGGGCCTTTTAATAAAAGGTCCTGGAAATAATTTTAAAGTAAAGCATGGTCAGCACATCTACTGAAACACTCCCAGTTCTAATTAATAGATGGCAACCATCCTGCCCAGCCGTGTAACTCCATGGAAGGCAGGGAGGTTGCTGATAACCACCTCTGAAGGTGGTCCTGCCTGTTCGTGCGCCGGCGGAGGAGAGCTGGAAGCCAACTGAGCGGGGCAGAGCAGCCCCCAGCCGGCAGCACTGACACGAAACTGCGTTTGGCTGGCGAGCGATAAGCAGAATAGCATTTCCTTGTGGCTTGACAAAAATCCTCTCTGCTGTAAGAGGAGAAGCTAGGAAGAAATCAGCTGTGAGTCAGTGCTTTTTCAGATGCCTTAAAATGTTTGTTCGAAGCAAGGCGGTGTGTCAGGCTTTTTTGTGGTGCATTATAATGATTAACCCTTTCTGAGTGTGGCTTTATTCTTTTGACAGGATCATCTACTTTCAAAAAATCACTCACCCCTGAGGTAAGTTTCTGACCGACAAGCTGGTTTGTTCTCTGGCTGAGAGAATGCACAATTTCAGACCTGTCTGCTATTTTTCCGATCTCATTCAAGTTAGGGGTAAACCAGGCAGCGGTAAGTACAGTAAGCTGGAGGTGCTCATTTGGGAAATCAGAGCGTTTCTTCTTACCAAGGAATTCTCTGCTTAAAAACCCAGCTTGTCCCGGAACTGAACAGTTCTCGTGCCACCAAGACACTGTGTAGATCTCCTGCCACGAGCAAGACGTTCAACTCGTTTTGGCTGAGAAACACCATTTAACAACTGCCTGTGTTAGAAGACGATGAGTCAGGCGAGCTCTTGTGGTGTGAATCAGAGTAGAATTTGCCACCTTCCTAAAATGTTTCCTCAAAGACTCGGCCTTACTGGCAGAAAGCACGGTGACTGGCTGCGGATGGTCCAGACTCGCTTAGAGCCGATCTGTTTGTGATGATGATGATTAGGAAAAAGCAAATGCTTCCAGGTGGTCTTGCATGAAGGTGTTTCTCTCTAATTAAATGTCCGGCCTCAATCACACAGGAGTCAATTGGTTCTTTGAATTGATTTCAATGCTGTTGCTGTCCCGGGGGCCGCCTTGTGCCGTGTCCTCCCTTTGCACGCATGCATGGGTCTGGGGCTTCAGCAGGGTGCAATTCAAAGGCTCTGTCTTTGAGAACAGCAAAATTATGCCAGGTGGTTCTGGGCAGCCACTGGCCTCTAAGACACTGGGCTTTACGTCTTTGATTCTCACCATCTTTTACTCTGATCCTAGATGCCAGGTTCTTCTGGGCAGCCAGGCTCACAGACGATAAAGAAAGGGCACAGAGGAGTGGACTCCACGGGCGAGACTACCTATAAAAAGGTAAGTTGTCTCTTGCACAACTCATTTGACTTGACTGTTGTCATTCTCCTCTTCGTAACGCAAGTGCCGGCCAGAGCAGCAGCAGCGTGTCTCACGAGGTTCGATGTTAGACGGTGGGTAACGTCTGTGACAATCGCTGTAAAAGGTCTCAAAGTAAAGGGATCAAATGACTGAATATGTGCTTCTTAGTGTCTGTTCTGTAGCCTTCTAAAGAGGGGATTATTTTTAAACTTTGCCCATTAGCAACACTTCCTAGGCCTCTTCTGGCTTATTGGGTGCTTTCTGTGCTCTTTGGGCACAATAGTTTGTATAGATCTTGTGACATTAATGGAATGTGCTTTACAAAGGGGAGATTGTTTGGGTATTTTTAAAAAGGCTGTAAATGTGGGTACTTTGTGGATGTTGCTTCCCGTTTGTTGGACTTCATCAGATCCGGCCAACTTTCTTTGAAGTCAGGTTGACTTCTAGGATGTAGATTAAATAGGTAACAGCTTGATACGGGCATTTGCCCGGTTTGTGTAAGCGAAGCTTCTGGTCTGAAATCTCTAATCCAGATGTACCTCCATCTGTCTGTCGGGAATCGGAGCGGAAGGGAGGAACTCAAATGGTGTTTCTACAGAAGCCGGCTTTTGTTATACTGCCCTTTTTGAAACTGCTTGTGTCTTCAGGATTGGGATCTGGCTTTCAGTTTCCCAGCAGATTCAGAGGTAGCAGGTTAGACAGCAGTTATAGGAGAGAAAAGTAAGAGCCAATGGAAAATGCCTGAAATGATTCTTGCAAGGGTCCCAGAAACCTGGTGGGACACTGCATGGGATTTATCTGGGAACGAGACTAATGGACAGTGCGTCTGTTTTTCATCCCCTCCTTTTCCAGGGGCGGTAAGTTGGGTTTTTTTAAAATTCTTTGCCCTTTAAAAGCAACTGTAAACAGGCAGTCAGCTGCTCAGCTGATCGTGCTGGCTAATAGAAGAGAAAAATACTTGTTCCTTGGCAACCTGGCCCTGTGGCTCTGTGTTCACAAACAAGGCAGCATTGCTGTGCCATGTTGGTAAGTTCTGTTTCTCAACAGTGGGTCTGTCCTGGGAGTTTAAGCAGGGCTAGGTGAGCTGAGCGGAGATCTGTTTTCACGCAACTTTAGCCTTTAGAGGGTAAGGAAGGAAAGCGAAGTCATGTTCTTCCTCCTTCCCTGTCTAATACTGCAGTAAATGTCAGCTACAAACAGGTAGCTGAAGCAGAAAAGGACGTTGTCAACAAGCTGGAGTTAATGCCAGTTTTTGTTGCGCTCTCTTCAGGGAACCGTGAGCAGGTCTCTTGCAGCTATGATAACAGAAAGCCACTTAAGTGGGAGAAATGTTCCCGTTTGTTATGTGTCCGGGGGAAAAAACTTGAAATGTTTGTCCCGCAGATGCTGCTGTGTCCTCTGTTGCCAAATGCTTTGATCTACAGTGATTTCTTGCATGTGGCAGGGGGCTGGGCTTTGTTTAGCTTAAGGGAACAAACACAAACTAGTTGGATCCTGAGCCCTGGATCTTGTTCTGGGTCCAGTTGCTTTATGTGTAAGCCAAGTGAAACGTCCATGAGCTGCAGTGCACAAATCCAACCTGCACCTGCTCTGCAGCCTCAACTTTTCCTGCAGGCTTTACAGCAGAGTACATATCTCCGTGCTCCGGGAACTGACAGGCCGTATAACAGCAGGGTGTTGAGCAGATCTCATCTGGGCAGTTCTGGGCAGGACAGCCCATAGCGCGAGCTAGCCTGGAGCACGTCTCGGTGGTCTGAGATGAGATCATGTGTTTCGTAGACAGAAGAGGACTCTTGGTGTGAGTAGCTGCTACAAGAACACAGTCCTACATTGTTCTTGGGCAGTTTGTGCAGAGGCTGCAGGAGCGGGATTCATGTCTTTGCTCCTTATTTAAAAACGACAGTGAACTCCTTAGGGTTAAAGAGCCACAACCTAGTGAGAGAGGCAGACAGAGGAATGTGGTAGCACCACACAGAAGCGTGCCTTGTGTGCTGGGCATGCCTGCCTTGTCCTGTAGAAGACCTGAGTCTCTGCCCAAGCGAAGGAAGGACAGGTGTCAAAGTGTGTAGTTCCAAGACCAAGGTGACAAGAAGTGAGTTTATTCATAGGGACAGAAGGTAATCTGTCCCTGGATATCTTCCCCCCTGACTGCAGGATGTAGAGATGAGTGCTGTAGGAGGACAAACTGAAATTCAGTCCTTTTAAGGACCGGTTGGATGTTGATTCTGGTTCAAGGCCTTTACTGTTCGACCCAGAGTGCAAGGATCGAGCAGGATGCTATCAGGGTTGTAGGGATGTGCCCAGGTGTTCCCATAGCCAAAGCGATGTTAGTCAATGCGAAAAAAATGATGGAACCCAGAACCAGGAGGTGTAAAATACTCTGGCTAACAGTGCTGTTTTAAACTGAGGCTCTTTTCTTTAACTCCTTTCATTGCTATTTCCAGTCTGCCGCTCAATGTTGTCCAACTCATTTTCTCTGCCCCTCCAGACGACGTCGTCTGCCTTGAAAGGTGCCATTCAGCTGGGCATCACACACACAGTTGGAAGCTTGAGCACCAAACCCGAAAGAGATGTTCTCATGCAAGATTTCTACGTAGTAGAAAGCATTTTCTTCCCAAGGTCAGTGCTTTCTTTCTTCTCTCTCTGGCGCTTTGATAGCGAGTAGCAGCATTGGTTCCTAACCCTGCTTGCAGATGAGGAAGCAGCACCAAACCAGGACAGTTGAGTGCAGGAGCGAGCACAGGTCTCCTGAGCAGAGCTAATCAATGCACTGCTCACAGACCAACTCTGGCTCCTGCCCACGAGCTGTTCCTGCAGAACCCTGGCTCTTCCTTATATGTGTCTGCCATCGGTCGCTTGAACAAATGCAGGCTTGCTGTTGTGTTTGCCTGTGTGTGTCCCTTTTGGGTGGGTGCTTTCGAGCCCTCCAGTGTGTTAGAAGCAGCCAGCCAGTGGGTGTTTGGTTTTTAGGGGAGTTTCTTAAGAAGTGTTTCAAATACAAATACTTGTGTGTGCTTCTCTCCTTGATCAGTGAAGGGAGTAACCTGACCCCAGCTCATCACTACAATGACTTTCGGTTCAAAACCTATGCTCCAGTGGCCTTTCGCTATTTTCGGGAGCTCTTTGGGATCCGACCAGATGACTATCTGGTAAGTTGCTGGTTCGACCAGGTTCCCATTTGTTGCGTACTCTGTGTAACGAGTGTTTGTCCTCTTCCCCCTCTCAGAGCTATCGAGTGCTGTGAGGCCCAAGGGCAAGCTCTGTAAGCACAGCAGTGGATGCTGTACGTGACCCTGGGTTTTGCCTCTGTTAATGTTTAAAAGGAAGAACTTTCGCGCTGAAGTTTCCTGTTGAGGTCTCTCTCACCTCTGCGTTTCTCACCTTGTCCTCCTCAGTACTCACTCTGCAACGAGCCACTCATTGAACTTTCAAACTCGGGGGCCAGCGGATCCCTCTTCTACGTATCCAGCGACGATGAGTTTATCATCAAAACAGTTCAGCACAAGGAGGCTGAGTTCTTACAGAAGCTGCTGCCTGGCTACTACATGGTGAGTCACTTGGGTGAGGCTTTCTCTGCAAGCCAGGGAAGGGAAGCGTTCCCCAAATCTACAAGTGTGAGAGATCTTGCTGTGCACCGCCTGGTAGATGTGAGCAGAGGTTTGATCCGTGCCCCAGCTGAGTGGCAGCTTCTCTCTCAACCGTCCAGTGACAAAGACAGTCACGGGCTAACACAAGCTACCTGGGTGTGATGAGCCTGGCGTGCTGCGCAGGGCTCTGAGGCTGCACTTTGTGACTCGGACCCTTTTGGAAGGTTGCAGGCTGCTTCATGACCAGCTGTGAACTGTTTGTTGCTTCCATGCTGCCCAGCGTCACACCCATGGTACTTTGTCTTGCAAAGCTGTACTTGTGTTTCCCTTCCCAGGACTGTGCTTGGTTCTGTCTGCAAAGATCAGGAGTTGAAGAGCTCGGATTTTAAGTTTCTATATATGGAAGCAGCAGCAGTTTTGAGAGAAAGACATGTTAATTTTATGAAAGTGGCCATAGCAAAAGAGGCTGCTTCAGTTCTGGAGCAAAATCAGATCCCGCCCTGAAGACAATGTGTGTGTGATCTGACACTCCTGTTTGTGTCCAGCCTGGCCTTTCCAAGCTAACTCTGTGAAAGGGAATTTAGCCCTGAGATAATCATGCCATATAGAAGTGCCTTAGGACTTCTGATGCTGTTGGGGTCACTAGCTGAGTTCCTTAAACTGCTTCTGAACCCGCGAATACTTTTGCTGTGATTATATCCCAGAAACACATTGTTTTTCTTCAAAATTCTGTCTAGTATCTTCTGCAGCCACGAGAGTGTAGATCCATCTCTATCCTAATGTATTTAGCTTGAAGCGCCAAATTTAAAAAAGCTAAGCCCAAGATCTTCCTTTGATCTGAAGCATCCCCAGCTTAGCTTCTGTGTGAATGAGCCGCAAACTCCGTCCTTCCTCCAATCTTCCTCTGACCCATTCAACTTTGCAGAGAGGTTATTAACAACTGTAGGCATCACCCATCTGTTCACTGTGTTCACCTGGCCTTGTCTCTTAGCTTCTTTGGCAATGACTTTGAATCAGTGCCAGCTCCATCTCAATAGAGAAGCACAGGAAGGAGCAAATAACTCCCCTAACTGGCATGTGAATAACCAGAATGGCTTTGAAGGTATTTCTGTGTCTTTGATGTTTCAGAATTTGAACCAGAACCCAAGGACGCTGCTGCCAAAGTTTTATGGATTGTACTGTGTCCAGGCCGGAGGCAAAAACATTCGCATTGTCGTGATGAACAACCTACTACCGCGCTCTGTCAAAATGCACCTGAAATACGACCTGAAGGGCTCCACCTACAAACGCCGAGCATCCCAGAAGGAGCGAGAGAAGGTCTTCCCAACATACAAGGACTTGGATTTTATGCAGGACATCCCTGATGGCCTCTTCTTAGACTCTGACATGTATAATGCTCTGTGCAAAACGTTACAGAGAGACTGTTTGGTAAGTGGAAGGGTGATGTGGAGAGTTCTGTCCTTTTTTCCGAGCCTTTCATGTGAAAAGGAGATGGCAGCCGCCACTATTATAGCCTCTGCCTGTGGACTTGGAGAACCTGTTTTTTCTGGTGGTGGTGTGAACAAGAAGCAGGACCTGAACCCCAGCTTCGTTCAATATTTCCAACCTGAGTTACACCTAGCTCTGCCTCTGGAGGTGGAGGAAGCACCCTCTGCCAAGGCTGAGCTCTGGAGCAGGGCAGGATCCGGGGAGAGGGGCGGGATGCTTGACTGAGTCTGTTCTCAAGTCAGGCGGCTGTGCAAAAGTCAGTGTTCTCCCCTAGCTTGGGTCCCTGTCTGCACAGGAGTGCCACCGATGGCTTTCCTCTGACTCCCTTTGGTGACTGTAGATGAGCTGACTGTGCACGAGCTGAGGATTAAAAGCCATCCCCTCAATATGCTCGGGGCTCTAGGCAAAAATGCTGACTACACTTCTGAAAATGTCTGCTCTGACAGTTTCACTGGGCTTGCAATACTGAATGAGCCTTTGTTGACTTTCCGCCCAGGTCCTGCAGAGCTTTAAAATCATGGATTACAGTTTGCTTGTGGCAATCCATAATATTGACCTGGCACAGAGAGAGCACGCGATGGCAGACGGGACATCCCAGACCGATACGCGGCGACCCGCTGCCCAGAAGGCCCTCTACTCGACAGCCATGGAATCCATCCAAGGAGAGGCCCGGCGAGGTGGCACCATAGAAACCGATGACCAGTAAGTCTGTGTCGGTGTTACTCTTCCCAGTGAAATACTGCGAGGAGTGAGGGGTAAAACCCAAGCTTGGCTAGCGGAGACTTAATTTAGATGCAGACTGGACCATACACAATCGCTGTCACGCTGGGCAGAGAGGTCTTGGTATCAAATCTTGTGCTTTTTATCTTTGATTTCCCTTCCTTAATGTGTCAAAGATTTTCTCGCCTTCCAGGCGGCATTTGAAAGTTCTCTGCCCATCAGTTATTGGCAGCTTCAACTAGTTACTTCCATCTACCTCTGAGGCCTGGCGAGTGCTTGGTTAGATCAGACTAACAGCCCGTAAAGTCCAGCTGCTGTCTTAGTATGGCTGGTAGTAGATGCTATTTACGGTTGCTCGATCGGTTCTCCTGCACGAGTCGGCATTAATCCTCATCTTCCATAAAATTGTCATACGGAGGGAAAAGGGGGTCAATTCTCAGGAGGTTTAGCTAATTTACTGAAAAAGCATTTTGCTCTGACTTATCTTTCACAGTTGGTTAGCTGAACAGTAGGTACCTCCCGCTTGTTGATGCTTGTTAAATAGTTCACGTAATATTCAGCCCACGCTAGGCTGTGTGAGAGAGGCAGTGGGGTGTGAGAGCACCCTGTTTCACGTCTGCACCCTGTCCTCTTCTAGGATGGGAGGCATTCCGGCCCGCAACGCGAAGGGGGAGAGACTGCTGCTGTACATCGGCATCATTGATGTGTTGCAGTCGTACAGGTAAGAAACATTTCCTGACAGCTGTGTTATCACCGAAGGGTGGAGACCACTTGACAGCATTGTCTGCTCCTGTTTGGTTGTCAAGATTGGCTTTCAAGAAATAGTTAAGACACAAATCAACATTTTCATTTTTTATTTACCATTTTCTGTTTTCTTGAAATCAGGCATTTTGGGATCAATTTCTGGGTCTTGCTTACTGTATTTACTTCACGTTCCCAGAATAGATTTACTCTCGTGAAGTTGGTTTTGTATGCTGTGGTTGTACACAGGCACTGTGCAGGAAGTGGCAAGGAAAAAACAAGTGGTGGCTTAAATTGGCCATAACCGCTTCTCCTTATAAAATGAAAAAATAGCTGTAAGGTTTGCCTTTTCTTCTATTTATATTAAAATGCAATGTGCAGAGGGTTACGTATGTAAGGTCTCTGTTAAATGTCATTGCAAGTTAACTGCCTGTGATAATTACACCTGTGAAACTCGCCTTGGGAGAGTGAATGTGTTCCACAGACACCAGGGCTGATTGCAGTCTTAGAAAAATGGGACGATGAAGAGAATCCAAAGCCAAAGTAGTCTGTGTTTGGGATGTGCTTGCCACTGTGGTCAGAAGCCAGGCTCAGTACTGAGCGAGCATGATACGATACAGACAGTGGGGACTTGGTGTGAAAATTGTTCTTAATTCTTTCCTTTGTCAGATTTGTCAAGAAGCTGGAGCACTCTTGGAAGGCCCTTGTACATGATGGGGTAAGGAGAAAAATAATCGCTTTTTAACTTGTTTAGGAATAATACCAGTGTCTTTGTAAACCGTGCCCGCTTTCCTTGCTCCTTCTGGGCATAAGATCCTGGATTTCTAAGGCACGTGTGTTTTTACCCTCTTGCATATAAAAGTATTACTTTCTAGGTACTCTCAAAAATGTTGGTTTTGTTGATGCTGGTCATCCACTTGTTCATTAACAAGTATTGATTGCTTTGTGTATGTAACGCCTACTGCTTGTAGCTAATCTGCTTCTCATAGCTGCTAGTGAGAACCACTCTGAGAATCCCTGACTGTTCCTAGTCCAACATACTGTGTGTTTCAAGGCGAACGGCCTGAGAGAAGCTCATGTTAACCACGATCACTTACGAATTCTGATTCGCACGTTAATGTTTGTCCCTTGGACTTCTAGGACACTGTATCTGTGCACAGACCCAGCTTCTACGCTGAAAGGTTTCAACGGTTCATGTGCAACACGGCGTTCAAGAAAATACCATGTAAGTACCTCCGCGCAGGTGTGCCCTTGGCGATTGCCATCGTTTCTGGCTTCTCCCTGCTCAGCAGCTGGGGTTTGGGAAGGTGGACATCAGCGTGCAAGAGCTTTAGGAAGTCTGTTGTGCTGTGTCACCCCTTCCTTCCTCCTAGATTGTTCTTGCCTCACAGATGTGACCGTATAGAAGCTGTTTCATTCATCAGCTTGTTCCTTTAGAGCACAGCCCTCATACCAGACTCTGTCACTGGAAGGTTGCTGCGTTGGGTCTTTTACCCCTTCCTGAACATGTTAGGAAAGTGCTTTCTTGGTTTTTTTGTATTTCAGTAAAGCCATCCCCTTCTAAGAAGAGCCGGTCTGGCACGACAGTTCCTCGGCGGAGCTGTCAAGGAGGAGTGCCTTCCCAGTCACACATGTCGTGCGAGACAAAAGCACAAGTAATGACGGAGGCAGATGGAGAGCAAGGTTAGTGCCTGAACTAAAAAAAAAAAACACACCAACCAAAAAAAAAAAGCCTGGAGAAGTTATTTTTCGTTTTTTTATTTATCCAATGGAAGCTTGCTGCCTCCTGAGCTGTACAAGACACCTCCATGTTGTTTTGTGGTCTTTCCGGGGGAGGGCCTGTTTTCTGGGATTGTGGGTGCAAGAAACCAGATGGGGCCAAAAACTCGTATTCAGCAAGTGGCCTTTGACAGCACCATAAGAAAGCCTGGAAGAGCAGTGAGCCCTTCAAATGCTTGGCTGTTTCCAAGTGTTCTATTGCAACAAATGCAGGGCAGGATGATAAACCTCATGTTTCAGTAAAAGCCAATCAGGATGAGACCAGGTTGTGGAGGTGGGGAATTGTTAGCTTATGCGTCTTCGTGGGATCTTTCAGCCTCGTCCAAGCATCCAGCGTGGCCCTCGCTCCTCCGAGGAAGCGGGCTGAGGCTGCGTGGCAGTCCCCTGTGCCTGGTCTCTTCCTAACAGCTTGTGCCCGTGGGGAAGCTGGGCTGGGCAGTCGTGTGGAGGCTTGGACTTGGAACAGAGAAATGCCTGCTTCTTCAGTGCTTGAGTGTTTTGGATGTCTCGGGTGGGATCCAGCATGGTTCCCAACCCCTGGCTAGCGTGGGAGCTCGTGCCACACGATCCCACTTGTTGTGCTGGTGATGGAACAGTCTGTGCTTCAACTCAGGTTCCCACCTTGGTCGCCCAGATCTCCTGCCCAGGACCCTGCCGGTAGACGAAGCTAACAGCGATTCCATCGCAACAACCCTGTCCACTTCTTCCTTGGGCAGCGGAGGCCTCAACTCGCCCGCAAATAGGTAAGGCTCTTGCTTTTTCGGCGCATGGCAGGCCAGCAACTCCTGCAAGCCAGGTTCATGAACCATGGGAGGACTTCGTGCTGCTTTATGGATGTTTTGGTTTTTGGCATGCTTGCAGAAATACCCGTTTGAGTGGTCCATGTGTTATGGAGCAAGTTTGGTGCTGTCGGTTCAAGCATGCGCAAGGGGGGAGCATTATGTCGCCGTTCCTGCGTGCAGTCCATCACAGATGATGTGATCTTGCATCTTCTGCTTGGGCTGTGTGGGGGTCCCAGTGGCTTTTAGTTTCTTGTGTGTTCTGTATTTAATGGCTTTGTTCTGGAGTTGAGGTAATTGTGCTAATTAAAGTGAGTTGGTGAAAGTGTCACTGCCAAAATGTACGTGAAGAGCATTAATGTGACGGTGGGTGATGCTGAAGATGACGTTCCTGCTGCTCTTCTCAGAGGGTTGGGCGCTCTCGCAGCTTGCTGATTCGGTTAGCATTGAGCTCCTACAACTCCTCGGGAAGGGAGGCTGCAGGATGCGTGCAGGTGCGGTTCAAAATGTCTCAGAAGCTGAAATGCATGGAGAGCCCCGAGGGAGCTGGTGGCTGCCTTTGAATGTTTCATTTCTTGTTGAAGTGATAAGACGAGCAGGGACGAGGAGGAGCTGTGGTCAGAGGGCGATCCCTTTAGTAGAAGTTGTTCTGAGGTGTTAACTTCTCTTTGGAAGCGATCGGAAACCATCTTCCCCATTCCCGACTGACTGCCCGCACAGCGGCATTGATAGAAGTGCCTGCTCTCTCCTGAGCTGCAGGAGAACAAGATGCAATTGTAATTAACACCTCTTACTCCCTCTGTAAAACAGGGAAACTTCTTGGTAGGGATCCTAAACCAGAGCTGCTCCTTTCCAGTACGTCAGCGTGCCTGAGGTGTTCTTTTTACTTACTTAACTGCGGGTCTCTCTCTTTCAATCTCTACGTAGGTCAGTGGGCGTACAAGTGCATAAAGCTGACAGCTCAGCAAAGGATTTGACTAGAACAGCTCCCGGCATCTTCCTGCCTAGGTGAGGGGAGGAACCGGACTTTGCCTGAAACCTTCTCCTGGCTGGAGGGTGTGCTCAGTGAGACTGACCCTGGGATTTGGCCTCACCCTTGTTGCTGGCCAGCGGTTACGGAGCTTCTGTACAGTCAGTTCACTCCTAAAATGCAGTGCTGTAACGCAGTGTGTCCCTGTGCCAAGGCTCAGCAGTCCTTAACGTGTCTGTCTGCTGTAAGGCTCAATGGTAAAACCTCTCGGGATGGTGTCCTCCTTACCCTGCATGGTGCTGAGCACCCTTCTTAGTAAAAGCACAGGTTCTGGTAGGTAAGATCAAACCTGCTGCTCCGTTGGGTTCAGGCTTGAGCGGTTCCCCAGATGCAAAGCCTGATCTGTGTTTGCCCCACCTACCTCTGAAGCAGAGCACGCTGCTTACCGTACCCTGTGGGCACTTGAGCATGTGGTTACCCTTTGCCAACATCCCGTAAAGCCATGTGCCAGTGCCAGACGGTGGTAATGAAATCCAGGAGAGAGAACAGACCAGTGTTTTCTCCTATGCGGGGCCTTGGGATCTGAGCTCCCTACATCACGCCTGTTGTCAGAGGCTTAAATCTGCTTTTGCGACCTTGGGAGATCTGTAAAGCTCTGCAAACCCTGAAAAGGATGAAAGCGATTTGTGGATTGTTGATTTACGGCAACATAACTTGTTGAATGGATTTGAAAAGGTGGTTTGGTTGTATTTTTTCCTCTCTACAGAATCAGCCAGTCTAGCGAGGTGTTTATGCCCCTTTGGGGAGCTAACCTCTTAAATCTCTGTAGTCCTGTACACAGGGGAGTGATCGCACCCCAAATCTCTTCAGCTAGAGTTTCTGCCCTTCTAGGGGTGGGCACAGGGGGAGGGCAGGATCTAGCCCGCGCCACATCTGCCTTAGAAACACGAGCTCAGCCCTCTCCGTGCTGCAACAACCTTGGTCTCTCTTTGCAGCACGGCCTCACGCCTGCCTCTGAAATGTTGCCACATGCCTCCATTTGTGGTGTGCACCCTGTGTGTGGAAGACGTGCTCTCCGCAGTGGCATAAGCGATGCCGTGCAGGCGTGGGTGCCCTCGCGAGGCTGGGATTCCCCTGGTCCTCAGCCCAGCTCTATCGTTAACCTCTGGCAGAAGCATGCTGGCGTTGGGGAGACCTAAACATCGGCATGTGTCGCTGGGAATGGAAGCTGCTGACCGGCATCTTGTGGGAAAGGGGTTCCAGAGGGTGGTCCCGTCCATTTGAGAGGAGCACTTCTTTTTCTCTGAAGCACTGTAATTTAGCGGTAGATTTGATAATGTTACGTTAATGGTTGGACTTGATTTTAAGGGTCTTTTCCAACCTAAATAATTCTGTGATTCAACCTGCAGCCCTGCTAGTGCTAATTAAGGCAAACCTCAAGGGCTATACGCACTGTAACCAACGCTGAGCATCCTTGCCTTTAATTTCTGTGTAGGTCAGAAGCAGCGAGTTGCCAGTTAGAGAGCTTGGCGGCGGAGGAAGCCAGAGCAGCTCAGAGTAACCAGGCACATAGGTAAGGCATGATCAGGCAGAGAGGGAGCTGTGCCTTCCTGGTGAGGATCCCCTTGTCTCCATTCAGGTGTTGGTCCAAGGGTGTTTGCGCAGGGCGATGTGTAGCCTGATGACTGAACAGCTCGATGCTTCTTGTACTCTAGCAACAGGCAGTCGAATCCCTGCTAGTTAAGGCAACCACTGCAGGCAGGCTGTGACAAGCCCTGGGTGTTAGCAGCAGGAGGGCCAAGCGGGTCATGCTGTGTCCGTAGGCAGTCCTGAAACCTCTTTTCTTAATCGCCAGTGCACTGGAGAGCCCTGACCACTTGGCCTAGGCAAAATGCGCACTTTTGGACTTGATTTCTTCCTCAAGGGGCGAGGAGAGAAGCTGTGGTCACCGTATCCTCGTTAGGATGCGGGGTGAGGCTGGGAATTGAACTCCAAGCTGGGAATTGGAGTTCCTCAGCCAGCAAGTTGCAACCTTTTCGCTGTAGGATGTGAAAGAAGTGGGGAAATAACACGGGGTATTCCGTGTTCTGTGGCCCACGTTTCCTCTTTGGCGATGTATCCTGTCAGGCGCTCGGCGTGCCCATGTTCTATATCCTGCTGTCAGGCTGTAGCTTGCATTCAGAGCATAAAAGGGTTGCAGGAGGTTTGCCAGGGGCTTTTTCAAAGAAGGGTGCCTCTGTCTGGAAAGGCTGAGACTCACTGAGCTTCGGTGCTTTGTGGTTTCTTTGTCCCCGGACTGTTTTCACCCAGGACCATTTCTATGTTGAAGAGATGCTTGAAGACTTCTGTAAAGAGGTGCTGCTGCTTGGCTGGACAAAAGATCCTCGTTTCTAATGTCTGAAGTCATGTCAAGACTAGGAGGGATGATTTTCTAGGTGGTGTTTTGGGTGCCTGCCCCAGCAAGGATCCTGTTGCCTGTGTCTCCATATTAAACCTGCCTAACAAACGTCTTTGTGCCCTTCTGGAGTGTTCCGTTGACTGGGTACAGCAGAGCAGCCCTGGAGATGTGACTTAATGACAGCTCACTTTTAAAAACTGCTTTACAGGTCTTCCCCTTCTGTTTCCCCAGTGGCTCTCCAGGGCCTTCCATACCCGAGTGCTCTGCAGAGCTGAGAGAGCAGCTTGAAGACCTGCAAGAGACGGAGATAAGCTTTGTGAGTACTTCCCTCTTTGGGAGGAAAAGAGCGGCTCTGGAGGTGGATGGAGAATTTGGGGGGGGTTACGTGGTCCCCGGTTGTGCTGGGAACATGGGCACTGAGCGGGATGTGTGAGTCGACCAGAGCAGGAGCAGATGTTCTTCACCCCCCTCTGGTATGCGAAGGCTCAGCCTGCCTTGTGCTAGGCACTGTTCGTGCTCTTGGTGATAGTCTGCTGCCCCAGCTGCCTTAAACTGGATAAGCAGGAGGCAAAGCAGAGACATTCCTGAGGGCCCAGAGTGGGTCTGAAGGGTGTAGAGATAAAACAGGGTGAAGCTGGCCAGGCTCATCTTGCTGTCCCCGTGGCAGATGATAAACACTCACAGACCCTCCAGTTTTAATGTGAGATGGGGGCTGGGGGTAAGCCTGAACTCAACAGCCCTCTCCACTCTGTCTCTCCCAGGGTGGAGAAGATTTAGGGGAAAACAGTGCAGGAGACGTCCTGCTGCTCTTCCTCAGAGGAAGGCAAACCCCTCCCCAGCATCTCCCCCTCTTTTTCTCTTCACAGTGAAGAAACACTGAAACTGCCGCGATGGAAGCAGATTGTTCTGTGCTCTGCATGGTCTGTGGAGTCTGACAAACATTCGGCCTCTGTTGCTGAATTTATTTTTTTTTTTTTTTTTTTTAAAAAAAGTCATCTTATCTGGACAGAAACCTAAAAGCTGGAAGGCTGGGCTACACTTAGTGGGATAGTATTAACAAAGACCGAGCCAGCACAGCTGAGCCTCGGGCACCTGGAAGTCTCCTTACAGCAGAGCCCACCACTGTGTCCCTGCTGTCTTCCTTTCTTTGAAGCCTGGCGGGAGCAAAGCCGGCTGTCAGGAGGAGGAGGAGGAACTGCTCCGTGTGGGCTGAAGCCCTCTGGAAAAAGGATCTGACTTTCAGGGAGTGAGCTGCTTACAATGCCGACACCACCGACCTTGCGAGAACGTGCGACTCTTCGGAGTTACTGCGGGGGGAAACGGGCATTAGAGCCTCATTGGGGCAGTTTGCGACAGAGCAACGTGGTTTTATTTTGTATTTTAAACAAGTTTTTAATTTAAATGTTTCTCTGAAGTCAGTCATATCACTTCTTTTTAGTCCTGCAATATAGTAATATTTTTTTTAAAATAAATAGGTTTTTTTCAGTGTTCCACCAGAAAGTATCCCATGTGAGAGAGGCAGAAAGGGGGAGCAGAAGCTGTACTGACCGCAGACGAGCTTCTCTCCCCTGCCAGCCGCTCCTGGCTGCCATACCTTCCTCCGTTTTCAATCTTGCATCGCCCCGAGACAGCGACAAGGAGAGCTAGGTGCTGTGCTTTGTTGCTTGGAGGACTTTGAATGTGTGAAGCTTTTAAGACGTCAGGGAGGTTTTGGATTGCTTTGCCCCCCAGTTTTTAAACTAAGCCCTTTCATCCCTTCCCCGCCAAGCAGGGAGTCGCAGGTGAAGGGAGATCTTTGTAAGGGGCACACTTTTTAAAAGTATTTCTTAAGCAAACGGACCAAACCCAGCCTGCTCCGTTCCCTTCCCCTGCCCTCCGTCCTGCTGCAGGCACCGCGCGCAAAACCCTTCCCATTTTTATAGCTCGGCTCCCTTTTGATATCTTGCCTGTATCGTAGCCGCGGTCAACACCGGTGCTCCCAGCGGCTTGAAACCGAGATTCCTACCTAAATGGGACAGACTTCTGCCTCCACCAAAGTACGGGGCATTTTGAGTCCCATTTTAAACAAAATAATAAGCTGAAAGGCGGGATTGTTCCGCTGCCATTTCCCTGCGGTGATGCCTGGCCCACGCTGGCTGCAGACGCTTCTCTAGAAATCTCAGAGCAGATGTTGGACTGATCTTTATTTTCACTAAAACCTTTTTTTAAAGAAATGAAGTGACTCTTCCCCATGTTCCTGGTGGGTTAGAATCCTCTGTTCTTTTTTATATATATGAAAAAAGTAATTTAAAGCTTGCCCTTGCGGTAGTGCAAGCGGTTTCTATACTAATTAGCAATGATTGCTAAGGAAACAAAGAATGTAGTGGTGTAGAAGGGATTTTTTTGTTGTTGTTGATGTTTCGGAGCCAAGACTCTTCCCGCCTTCCACTTCAACCTTTTAAAGTGGATGCGACACAAGCTGATATTTTTTTAAGAAAATGCATTTTTTTTTTTTAAATTCTATGATTATTTTTTTTTTCAAAAGACCAAGCGGAATGGCCTTACTCCGGGTATCCGGATCCCCAGGGGGTTGGTGGAGCACGAGGACGGTCGCTGTTCACAAACTGTTTGGTTCTCAAGGGCTCTCAAACCTTTCGACAC